TCTTGCATGCCATTTAGTATCTCAAGTATTGACAGAGACACGGGCAGACGGGGAGGTATAAAGTGCCTGATTCCACTGTGTCAGGATCGAGCACAATCCAACATGGCTAAGCATTGCAACAATAAAAAATCCCAACTGACTCTGTCTCCTCTGTCAGTAGACAGTAGGTACACACCTGATAAACCAAAGTAAGTGACCTAATAATGGTGTCTCTCACTCTCCAGCAGGGAATAAAGCCCATTTGGCACTCAAGTTGTTGTGGACTACATCTCCCCTAATGATGTTGCCTACTCGTGATCTACACTGACCAGAGTTGGGAGATGTGGTTCAGCCTGGTGGCAAGAATTTTAGCAAACAATTTAAGAGGGAAAGTGGGTGGCAATTCACACAGCACTCCACACCCTTGTTTTCTTTAGGGAGCAAGATGATATGAGCAGACGATGTCTGCTACAAATAGTCATCATGCATGGAGTTGGATGCTGTAATGAAGCATGGGTATACTGTATTGGGAACAGCTTATAGTATCTCAAGGGTAGACCATCAGGTAGTGGGCTTTATTTGGTTTTGTGAACTTTACAGCTGGGGTCAGTTCTTCTTCCACGATAGGGTCTTCAAGGATTAGAGCATCTCTTTGAGGCAGAGACGTAAAATAAATAAAAAGCTCTACTACACGTAAAATAAATAAATTCACTACTAAAAACAGTTCCTATCCAAGACGTTGTGACTGTTGGCTTGATTTAGGTATACATGTAACAAACAGTCCATATACATTGGGGTGCTCCATCTCACTTATGCTCAACAGGTGGCGAGTACTGTCAGTTGGCTATTAAATGGCAACGAGATTAGTTTTGCATTAAAACATTAAAACAAGTAGTACATGGGTAAAATGTATTAATGAAAAGGAGCTAAAACAAACAGTCTCTAGTCCTTTACCTTGATAAAGTCCTAGAGATGAAACCGCTTGGTAAACAAGCTATCTCGATGATATCCTGCAGCCTGAACCTCTGTCATTTCAACTGGGGGAGAAGAAGCACCCTGCTGACCCTTTGGTGAAATTCCATCCACCACAGTGGACTGAAACTGGGATCTGCACTGGGACACCACTGCTGCATATGGTAGAAGGGCCTTTGCACCTTCTAATGAGCCTTTTTGAACTTTATGTTTGTGAGTGCAATTTTATCCTTAATTTAGTGTGTGGTTTTACACTATGTTTTTTCTAAAATATTTTTATTCAAGCAATTAAGTACTAAGAAGATTCTGTTTATATCTGGATCGCTGCAATTTATGCTCTGACACAGAGGAATGTTTTAATGTATGTAATTTTCAATTTTGGTGATTCCACACACTATATATTTTCTTGGTACGGCTTTTATATTGCATAACATATAGAGTCATCATATTAGTTCATGGAAGAATTAGTATCTTTCAAGAGAATTATAGTGCGTAAAAGATGCCAATATTATTCATGAAAATTTGAGTTGTTGGGTACTTATAAGTGTGGGGGAATTAACATTGCTACTTCTATGATAGTAACATGGTCTTGTTTTCCCAAGATGTTGTTACATGCAGACTCAACCCAAAAGCTAACATCTCTGTTTTTTTATATTCTGACCCAAGGAATAGTATTTGGACTTTTACCATACTGTTTTACTACTCCCAGGACTTAAAGTCTTTAGTAATCATTTGCTTCGCATCATACTTCCTAACATTTGAAATGGACAAGGGGTGTGCATGGTGGAATGTCCTGAGAAAGTTTAGGTGATTTGCTAATAACAAATTATGCAACTAAACTACTATAATCTTTAAAATCTCCCTGACTCTGACCAACTATAGATTAAATAAAATGGTACAATTGTTTCTGAATCTTTGATCCCTGGATAGTATACTTTCCTAACTGTTTCAAAGTAGCAATCTAATGAAGGAAATAATTCTGCAACTATCTCCACATTAAAATAATGCATTGTTGAATACTGTACTTGATCAGTATTTAGTTTTCTTTGGTTTGTTCACTTTTCTTTAATTATAATTATTAATGATTTAAATAAAGTGAACTTTATTATTGCTATATATAAGTGAATGTTACACTAGTGGTAATTTCTTTAAAACCTAGCCCTTATATAGGTCTTGCCTTTATAAAGTGCTCATTCAAGTTTGCAATAGGATGTTTCCCTTGAATTACACTTTCAACCAAATCCAGGCATAAGAGCAAAGTTTTTCTTTCATCTGATGCTTTTATTAGCAAATTGCTAATTTTAGGCTTCAGTACCCAGGTTGAACATCGGAGTGTTTAGGCAATATAGCAGGCTTCCTATCAAGAAAACCAGACATCAGTGTGGTGCAAGGATGCTGAGAATGTTTTCTCAGGTGAACAACTAAACCACTCATTTCTTCAATAATCTTAGTAAGCGCTATAGACAGGAGATCAGGATCAGCTGGGACGTGTCTTCCCTGCAAAATTATATGAAGAAAGATATGGTGCCAAGAGGCCTTAGGGTTCGAAATATCCCTTCCTCATATAGAGAGAATAGTGAGTTTGTAAAGGAGTGGGAGTCTGTGCCTGGTTCTTATTCAAAACGGTTTATGGAAATTATCTGTAAATTTGAAAATCTAAAAATATTGAGTGTCAACTCAACGCTAGATGAAGAGATCGATAAAGTAAATAAATTTCAGTCTGATCTTTCCTTTAGCCAGCTTGAGTTGAGACTCAAACAAAATCTGGATAAGTACTCACAGACAATTAAATACAGAAAACATAAAAAAAGGCTACGCAATTTAAATGATTACAAGGCAGCTAGTTTCTATAGAAACTTTACGTGTAGAGTTAAAACATAATTTGACAATAGGTTAGGATTTATCTGATAGTGATGGAGAGAACCTTGAAACCTAGCCCCAGCCCCAGTCCCAGCCCCAAACTCCCATTCCATCTGTTCAAAACAGCAATCCCAGGAGTAGAACCCAGGCCACAGAAAAAGGTATCCAGCATGCAAGATGAGAAGGGGAGGGAAGAGAAAGAAGGCATAGATAATAGGGCATACTATAGCCACTGCTCAGTTGAGAGTGGTAAACCTGTAAAAGATTAATCTTGACAAACATCAATTGAAAGTTCTGGAAAAAGGTATTTCGTTTGTACCGGACCCAGCCTTTAAAGGGACACTATAGTCACCCAGACCACTTCAGCTCAATGAAGTGGTCTGGGTGCCAGGTCCCCCATGTTTTAACCCTGCAGCTGTAAACATAGCAGTTTCAGAGAAACTGCTATGTTTACATTGCAGGGTTAATCCAGCCTTTAGTGGCTGTCTTCCTTACAGCCGCTAGAGGTGCTTCCCCAATGCTCAATGTGAAAATCGCATTGAGCACACAGAACGTCCATAGGAAAGCATTGAGAAATGCTTTACTATGGGCGTTTTTAATGTGCGCGCAGCTCTGGCCGCACATGTGCATTCGGCTCCACTCGGGAGCTGACGTCGGAGGGGGAGGAGAGATCACCAGTATCGAGGGAGCCCGGCACTTGATAAAGGTAAGTGGCTGAAGGGATGGGGGCTCTGAGGGAGGAGGGGACCTATGAATTATATAGTGTCAGGAAAATGAGTTTGTTTTCCTGACACTATAGTGACCCCTTAATAAATTCATGTGATTTTCCTCGCAGACTCGCACTACACACATTTTTATCAACTTCACACTGAGAGGAAGGCCAGGGCCTTAGAAATCTCATATAAGGATTATGAGTGCCTAAAGACTTTTAGACCCAGGAGCCGCTTTACCACCAATAGCAGCATCTATCGCAATAATGAACTATTCCCAGAAGCTGCAAAAAGTGAAATTGAAAAAGTTAATATCAAAGATTTGGATGTTCGACTCAACAATAATTTGTCTAAGAAAGAACAACTGACATTATTGCTACTTTAGAAGGATGACAGAATAGTCGTGAAGCCTGCTGATAAAGGGGGAAATGTAGTCATTATGGTGAAAAGAGTATTTGAGGACAAGGAGGCGTAAAGGGTTTAGAAATCTGACCCCATTAACTAGTTTCTTTTGCTATATAAGTCAATTCTGGATCAAAACCGCTATGAGAGGTTGCTATGGGGGGATGCGTATGAATTCATTCTTACTCGTCAACCCAGGGTAGAAATCTTTTCTGCCAAAAATCCACAAAAACCTGACTAATCTATTGGGTCATCCCATTGTGTCTGGAGTGGACAACATTACAAAAGCCAAAACCCCATAGAGAGACAAAATTATATATTAACCTAAGCCAGGTGCAAACAATACAAACACTCCCTTAAGTGTTTAAATAGCAGAATCCATATATAATATAGAATTAACACTATAAAAACTTCAATCATTAAGTAAAATAAGACTTTAATCAATAGAAAAAAATCACAATAACAGACAAAAAATAAATAAAGTAACAGAAATAGAGGCAAACAGTAATACAATAGTACTATACCAAAAAAATCTTTCAAACCCCAAGGCAGAAACACAAGTCACCAACTCCCCCAATATTTCGGCACCAACTGGTTGCCTTTGTCAAAGTTGGTGGGAAGAGAAAATTGTAGAAACATACCTGATGGCTCAGTTCCTTCCCCAAATCATCTTATGACATGGACATATTGATGATGTTATAGTTCTGTGGCAGGCTACTGATGGAACAAAATGTAACCAGGATTTAAACCTGACAGTTACACATAGGGAGTTTACCATGATGAGCAAGAACAATCAAAACAAGGCTTAATTCAGACAAACTTTTCAGAAAACCATCGGCCTCCAATAGCACATTAGGACCCCTAAAAGCAGAATTGAGACCATCTCCAGGCACTTGAGAGAGCACTAGGCAAGTCGTTCAAAAGAAGTATTAGGTCGCGCCAGAAAATAAATATAACAAAATCAAAATATAATAATATAACAAATGGTAAAAATAAAAGTCTTAATATGTAAAACAGTACATGTAAATGATGTAGTAAGTACTTACAAATAGCAATACGTACAAAGAAAAATTGTTGAAAAAGTCCTAAAATAAACCAAGGATGGTAAAGTCCGCTTGAGGGAAAAGAAACAGTCCTTGTAGAATAAAGGAAATGGATATGACGTCTTGTTCCAGGTGCCAATATGCAAAAGAGAACAAAATAAAAGCTCCAATGGTATAGATAGTCTTTTCCGCTTCTTTATAGAAATACAAAGTGAAAAGGTATCACACTCACCTATATTAGAGCTAAAACTAGCTCAGGTGTATGTCGCATTCAGTGGTACTGGTCCCCCACTGGTGGGATGTAGACATGAATCCGTGGCCGAGATTCTCGGGAAAGAAGAGGATAACACAGAATAGTGCTCACTGTATGTATAGATACTTAAGAAAAATAAAATATGTATAAAATACTCACATTTAAGTGAGCAGGAAATACTGCTCACTAATATAGCGTAGGTGGTATCATCCCCACCTAGGATTCTTGAATATAAAATAGTGGTAACCAGGTCCAGGAAATAATAAGTAAATAAATAAATTAAAAGATAATAAGTAATATATAAAAGGGGAATAATAGGCCAATAATACTTTATTAATAGATAATAAAAAATATGTAATAAAAAATATGTGCAAAATAGCCAAAACGCGTTTCACCACACAGGGCTTTTTCAACTGGCAATAAGAGAGTCTTATTGCCAGTTGAAAAAGCCCTATACATACAGTGAGCACTATTCTGTGTTATCCTCTTCTTTCCCGAGAATCTCGGCCACGGATTCATGTCTACATCCCACCAGTGGGGGACCAGTACCACTGAATGCGACATACACCTGAGCTAGTTTTAGCTCTAATATAGGTGAGTGTGATACCTTTTCACTTTGTATTTCTATAAAGAAGCGGAAAAGACTATCTATACCATTGGAGCTTTTATTTTGTTCTCTTTTGCATATTGGCACCTGGAACAAGACGTCATATTCATTTCCTTTATTCTACAAGGACTGTTTCTTTTCCCTCAAGCGGACTTTACCATCCTTGGTTTATTTTAGGACTTTTTCAACTATTTTTCTTTGTACGTATTGCTATTTGTAAGTACTTACTACATCATTTACATGTACTGTTTTACATATTAAGACTTTTATTTTTACCATTTGTTATATTATTATATTTTGATTTTGTTATATTTATTTTCTGGCGCGACCTAATACTTCCTTTAAATTTTCCATTCCTTTGACGCACTGTGAGGGAACGTCTCTATTTTAGGTTGCTGCCTATACTCATATTTTCCACTGTTCTGTTGAGACACTAAGCGCTGAAACCACCACCATTTTTATAAGTCGTTCAAAAGGTCTATATTTTTGTGGGCTGGAGCTGGTCAAGTGGGACAAGAGATGCGGAGACTTCGGCAGGTTGTTGAGACAACGAGAGTGCTTATGGATAAACAGTTTTAAAACTTTGCATCCAAAAGGTTTAAAGGATAGTTTATCCTTTTCACCATTTACTTTGCGAATTTATGTAGTGAATAACAACTGAATGAGTTTTATAAACAAAATACGTTATTTATACAGATTACATCTCCATGACAAAATAATACACAAAAAGCAATTTACAGAGTTTGCATCACAATGACGAAATAACAGATCAAAAGGTAAATTACAGTGCTTGCATCTCTGTGATGAAATAAGGTGAGGCAGCAGGTAGAATCAGTGACTTACAAACATTATGTCTCATTAAGCAAAGTACAACAAAGGCAATACCTATGGATCTGTGAAGAGATATAAGAGGGGCTAGAATTGTTCAATGCTTTATAGGTATGGATTAGCACTTTGAATTGACTCCTATAGGATACAGGAAGCCAATGTAAGGTGTGACAGGACTGACTAGAGAGGAAAATCAGCCTGGTGGCAGCATTCATTACAAACTGTAGCGGGGCAATACAGCTTTTGGGAAGACCAATTAAGAGAGGGTTACAATAATCCATGCTGGAAATTACTATAGCATGGACAAGCTCCTTGGTAGCATCATGCCAAAGAAAGGGGCGGATCCGGGCTATTTTTTTAATATGGAATCTACAGGATTTGGTAACATACTGGATATGAGGTTCAAAGTTGAGGCCAGAATCAAGTATGACGCCAAGACAGCGTGCTTGCAAGGATGGACTTATGTGGATACCAATTTGAAGGGAGAACAAAAGAGGAGGATCAGCATTAGGAGGAGGAAAGACAAGAAGCTCAGTTTTAGAGAGATTGAGTTTCAGAAAGCGCGAGGACATCCAGTCAGATATGGAAGAATGGCAAGCAGTGACACGTTGCAGGAGGGCAGGGGAGAAGTCCGGGGAGGAGAGATATAACTGGGTGTCATCAGCATAAGGTGGTAGTGGAATCCAAATGAGGTAATAAGTTTGCCAAGAGAGGCAGTATAAAGAGAAAATAGAAGGAGACCAAGAACAGAGCCTTGGGGTATATGTTTAACATGTTTGTCAGAGATGACTTGTGGCTAAGATGACACACAACAAATGCCCTTTTCTTTTAAAATGTTTATTTTGTCTATTTCAATTAATTCTTCAGCACTTATGATCCCACTACAGTGGACACCAGGGAACGGTCTGTATAAAGCATAGCAGAACCGCATCATTTGACACTTTAGTGCTGTGTGGATTATAAGCCCATTTAGACAGGGCCCTCTTCATTTACTGTCCCTGTATGTCACATGCGTTTTGTTAGAATGGCATGCGTTCACATACATTGGGCCATGCCAGTGACGCAATTTGCCTTAATAGGCCTTGTACTTGGAGGGGCCTGCTTGCCAGCCTCCTGCCCACAGGCTATGGGCCCTGCAGGGAAACCTGTAAAAGACTACCAAACTTGACCGACTGTTAGCACTGATTTCCCTTGAACTGATTTGGGCATAGGACCATCTGCACGGTCGGTCAAAACTATGATTTTAAGGAAACTCCTGAACCAATCTGGGTGATTTTTGGATATGTTGTTCACCCAGATCGGGGCTATCGGGGGATTTTATGTGTTTTTAAGGTACTTTTTGGGGTTTCATAAAATGTTATGTTTGTCTGTGCTTGGAGATAGTTGAGTTAGATTAGTACAGTTCCTGATTCAATTATCTCCCAAGCACAGAGGAGGGATTCTATTGTTTGTGTGTGGGAGTGCCTCACTGTATCACTCTGTTTTTATTGGTTTACTCACTTTGTGTCCCTGTGCCCAACAAGGTCCACCTGGGTGTCACCCTTGTTGGGAAACTTGCATAAAAACTTCCATTTAAATTCTGTTCCTGCATACCCTCAACATAGAGTCTCATCTCATGTGTGGGGGAAATGGCTGTTTCTATCCTGGGGATTGCTATATCACTATACTCCCCAGGAATTATAATCACTAGCTCTTATAAGAGCCGTTCCTGCTACGTTCTCTGGGAGTAGGAGAGGTCTGCCCACTGGAAGCTGGATTCTGGTCTTGGGTCCAGGGTGGGTGAAGGATGGCGAGACCCCGGCGCAGCTGCATCGCTGGAAGTGGGGTCTGCAGTGTTCATGGTGTCTGGTGAAGTGCTGGAATTCCTTGGTCGAGCACTAGGAGCATCAACCTTTCTACATTGAAATGCATGCAACTGCAAGTTTATTATTAGAAGCATTGAAAACTATACTAAATTACATCTTTACTATGTGTCCTATGAAGACTACAGTGTGATCTTTAAAATTGCATGGCTGGCTGTGTCATTAGAACGGTAGTCCCCAACAACGGTAGCGCAAAGCTTATCTGCCACAGATAAATATTATGTTAAATCAATTCAGTTCATCCAAATTTGTTACATAATTTCGATACATATAATATATTTTAAGTCCTTCATCTATTCCTGACAGATAAGTTGTAAAAAATAAAATACCTAGGTTACATGGCACCTGGGGCACAAATGAATTTCGCCCTTTAAAGAATTGTAAAAACTATTTTTAGGGGTCTGTCTCTGCACCACGCCCAACCCACTTTTGTCAAGGAAATTACACGAACATACACTAAATCCTCTCCCAAGGTTAAAATCACCAGGTCCTTCAAAAAATGTAATCTTGAATCCTTTCTAAATGACATCAAGAACCTCCCATGGCTCAGATTAAACCTAAGTCCCGATCTAGACTGTGCAGTTGAATTCTTTCAGTCCGAACTCCTACAAGTGGGACACATATGAATTGGATCACAGCTGACCTCATTCAAATGTTTCGGGATTCATTGTGGTCAAAGTGTACTGGCTCTGTGAACGATTACTGTGCATATAGACAATGGCGAAATATAT